CTGGGACGTCAGGGAAACGGATTGTGACAGCATTTACGACGTCATGAAGGTCAGACACAAAGGTAGAACTTCTCGAAGGAGCACGATAGCAAACGCCCAAAACATATTTACGATGATTTAAACAAAAGCAAATCCACAGGATCTCCAGATTTGTGGCAACGTTTACAAGAAATGAAGAAACATTATCAGCCACAGCAATCATAACACCGCCGCCACTTTTATCAACTCTATCTTGCCGATAGATATTAAACTTTTTTTGACAGTGCAAAATTTCACTGTTACAAATCTTACTTGTCAGCCAAGTTTCTGTCAAAACAACAAAACTAGCATTTGATGAGTCAATTATTGAACAAAGGTCGTCCCGTTTATTGATGACACTCCTAATATTTGTAAAAAGAATCGAGAGTTGCGCAGTGGACGATGTCTGAATAGGGCCACCACCCCTCGCAACATGCTACAATGTAGGTGCTGCATGACTGGCATTTTGAGTTTGGTTATTTACAGCGATAGTGGGTGCAGACACGCCGCCACTGCGCAGGTCTGCTTGTCGTACACTATTAGTGAGCGGATCATAAAAGTAGCTTGTTTGGCCAATAAGAAGTTTGTTGTACCGGAGTTTGAAGGTTGCATTTTGAGATGTTCCGAATTGAAGAAGTTTCTTTCTTGCCTGTCGTGTCGCCAGACAGAAATCCTCGTTCACTGTAGTCCCGGCGTTTTTCAGCGTCGAACGGAACGATAAAACCTTGTCTTTTAGTTTGTACGACGCGAATTTCACGATAATCGGTCTGCATCGGTCGTCCGAGAAATATCCCAATCTATGGGCGCGATCGATGCTCTCCGAGGTTATCTGGGGGTCAACTGTACGAGATAGAATTTCAATAATTTTACTTCCTGTTTGTGCCCACGTCTCCGACCTTGAATCCCCTGTTACCCCGTGAAAAATTAGGTTTTCGCGTCTCGACCAATCTTCGAAGTCATCCAAGCGACTTTGCAAAGACGCGTTGTCTTCTTGCACAGATTTGATTACTTCGCGTGCCTCAGTGAGTTCTTTCCGGATATCAGTTGTTACCGACTCAACAGAATCAATTCTTCGGCCAATTACTTCAATTTTACTTTCGATTAGTGTTTGGTTAGCTTTGATTTCGTGAACCGTCTGAATCAGGCTACACTGGCCCTCTTCTATCTTGACTGAGCGCGTCGAAAGATCCTGGAGAAGCTTCAGCATCTCAGCGAACTGTTTTGCCTGAGCATCCGTCATCGGGCCCGGGTTAAGTTCGACGTCCCCAGCCAACAGCAGTAATACATAGCGTACGGAGTAAGCACAGTCGGCAACAATACATAACAGTTTGACTATTCTTCCAGAATTAGTCAAACTGTTAAAAGAAAAGACAAAAGATGGAAAGATAATTTTTTAATGTGACCCTTTGTGACTTTCTAAAGAATTCGCCCAAGAAATTCTGGAACCGTGTGAATTCCAAAAAATCTAAATGTCGCAGTTAATCTCCTGATGAGTTAACGAAGTAAGGCCGAGTTTAACAATTACTTTCACTCTGTTTTTACGAAAGATATTGATAATATTCCCTGTAACCTCAATGCTAGCGTTATTGCCTTAGAACCTTTATTAATAACCGAATCAGGAATTCTCAGTCTTTTGCTCAACCGTGATAGTAAAAAAAGAAGTGGTCCCAACAATATTCCCAATGAGTTTTTAAAAAGATATGCTGAGTGGATGAGGAAGTATTTCTATATAATTTTTGGAAACCTCTATTTAATGAATTCACCGGGACCCGCTAATTATTTCGTTAAATCGGGAATTTCGTAGAATCGAAGAAGGGTGACCTCGCGCATAGGCTGCGCGGAGAATTCAAATTTGTTGGTTTAATCGGGATACAGTGTAGACCGCATATAACGTATGTCGCGGGAGTCGCGAAAATCTGCACTATAAGCGGTACCGCGCTATAACCAAAACATTAATTTTTCAGCCCAAAATACATGCTATGAGACAACTTACCTTCGTAAAAGAATTTATTTTATGTTAGATGAAAAAAAAAGCTTAGTTTGAGGAAAGTCTTTATTTCACCAGACTAGTACAGTTTTGTCTCATGTGTGTCTCACATTTTGAAAGAAATTAGCGGCTTTTGCCTGGCGCAGCCTTTTAACGGCGTCGCGGGTTGCGGACGGACGTTGCAAGCGGTCAGGATTACTAACCCTAATCACTTTTCTCCAGAGATGAAAACGCGTGAAAATTCGCATCCTTCATACAATACGCGCCAGTAACACCTCGAACTTGAGCACACGCATGAAATGCGCCAAATAAGAAATCCGGGCGATGCTCGAGGACACAAATGCTTATAGAAATCACGGAAATCACCACTGTAGTCGAATTAAACAAACACGACGACACGGGCGTTTCTGCCGTCTTGAGAGCGCCGCCACGACATCGCTGCACGAGTAGGTGGATCTTCCCTTCTAGCACGTGCTGGGTTATCATAGCGACACACAACGAAAATTCACAGTCAAGGATAGCGCTTTTACGCAGAACGATGAGATGAACGCCGTCTACGACGACGATCACGACCGACGCCATGCTTGCGGATAGCAGCAGCCGGCCCGCGACCGGCATGCAACGCGCGCGAACACTTCTCCGACTTCTCCCCGATCTGCGATTGGTCTGTCGGTGGGGTTGTTTGTTTCTTTGTTTCCACGCAGCGGAGGGGCGGAGGGACGCACGCACGTGAACGACACGTGCGTGCGTCCCTACTGAAGCCTCTCTCTTCGCTTCTCCCCACTTCTTCGAGCAACATCCTCGCCCCGCGCCGTCAGCACCGTTATCTAGTGTCGCACAGGGAAGCGTGCTCGCTGCTCCGGTCATCGGCGCGGTCGGCGGGCTGTGCCAAAAACCGCACAATAACCGGTATTTCCCTTCGCGCGCCTGCATTTTAAGCGGTATGTAAATACATGGAGTTCTATGGGAGGCGAACCGGTGGTTTAAAAAAACCACGTTATACCCGGTCCTGCACTATAAGCGGTTACGTTGTAAGTGGTCTATACTGTATTCGTAAAATCAGGTTTTGTAAAATTGAGGTTCAACTACAGCACCACCATCACTTCATTCCTAAATCACCTAGATTCTCTCTTACATTGCGATTAATAATTTAGGGTGTCTCGATTATGCAATTTTTGTGATCCTTGTGTTATATGTATTATATTTATGACGTTTTACTTGTCCTGTCTAATTAGTTTGACACACAAGCATATTTATGTGAATGATCTACTATGATGTTCTATGCAAGGTGCATGTACTTTTTTGTGCGTGTTTAGTCCCGTTAAAATCCCTTGCGGGATGACAGTATTTTTAAATAAATAAATTTTGGCGATTGCAACCATGGCTTATTACTGAGAGGATACCTGCGCATGTAAAAATCTGCGAGGGCTGGAAGCAATCGGCCATTCTCTCATCAGGGTTGCCCAAGTATGTTCCCGTCATTTGACTCCGAAAGGACAAGGTCAAGTTATAAGCAGCACACCTGGCTTGCAGAAGCAAATTTTCAAGTAGCGTTTTGATTCTGTTATCATGTCCCTCCACCTTTTTTGCAGGCACTATAGAAGAAAGCAAGAAAACAGAAAAAAAAAACTGCATTATTTTGGTTTAAATATATTTAGTTCTTTCAGGTGTTTTTTATTGCACATTAACAGACGCTCACGTATGCTTGTATTTGACCATGTCTCGTAAATGATGGAATGCTGCTGCACTTCTGCTCGCACAGCCGGCAGAGGGTGCCAGATGCCAGACTAGACAAACTGGATGTCGTGACATAAAGACTACCGTAAAATCCCGTAAGGGCGCCCTCTCCCGAGAGATTGCCCATCCTGTTTTTCTGGCCTAATATCCCCAACATTAAAATTCCTAAACAAGGGCCACCCCCACATTTCCGTCCCACATAGCATGATTTCTGACTGGAATCGCATTAACCGCGCAATCTGCAGTGCCGGTATGCGTGTGACGAGCGAGTTCCCAGCATCTTCTCGCATTTTTGTTTGCAATTGCACGCACAATATTGGTTCCCGTGACATGCGAGTTCCCGCGTTTTTTGTCCGTGATCTGCACGTGCGATGTTGGTTCCCGTGGCATGTATGTTTGTGGCCTGTTTTTGCGTGTTTATGGCTCTATAAAACACAAATCTGCTGCATCTGCAGTGTGCAGTGTCCTTTCACATGATACAGAAGTTCGTAGCGAATTCCCACAGGTTTATGGCATTGTCAAACATGAATTTAAAGTGTTCGCGATCTGCGGTATCAGTTCCCGTGTCACGTGGTTTGTAACGGGTACCTGTGTGTTTATCATTAATTATTACAGAGAAGCTGTTATGCGCTAGGACCCGGGAAAAAATGCATCCGTGGATGTTGAGAAAACGTCGCCATTGGTTGTGGCAGGTATGAATAAATAAAATAAAAAGAGGGGGCAGCCAGCGTGAGTCAGCCTTCCTTGGCATTATTCGATAGTGAGGTCCTGATCCCTTGTTATCATCTCTAGGCATCGTCCTCGAGGTCGTCCTTGAGGTCATCCTAGAATTCGTCCTTGAGGTCGTCCTAGAAGTCGTCCTCGAGGTCGTCCTAGACGTCGTCCTCTAGGCGTCGTCCTTGAGGTCGTCCTAGACGTCATCCTCTAGACATCCTCATAGACGTCGTAAAAATAACAGCTTTGCTTGTCCTTCATCTTCCCAAGAGGTGGAAGGGCTCTAGAATTTTTTTTGAAGTTTTGCTATCTCATCATTTAGGAGTGTATCTGCTCCTAAAGTGGATTTTGCGGCATAAATATTGCGGTGGACAAAAAATTTCCTTTGGAGAAATTAATTTTTGTGACGTACATGTTCTATCTAGGCACTTTCAAATATATTTCTTAGGACTCGAGCGTCTCTTTAATGTGCCCCTTTTGAACTCCGTTACTGTCGGGTGCACGAGGCCCATTTGTGTCCTCTTTCCCCCCCCCCCCCCGACAGGTGCAGCCCCGGGACGGGGGACCCCGCAGGGGGGGAGGCGGCAGCGGGGGCCCCCCTGCTGCACTGGGGCGGGGCGGAGGCCCCCCAGGTGCAGGCCCTGCTGCTGGGGGCCCTCTCGGGCCTGGGGGACCCCGACGGGCTGGCCGGCTGCCGCTGCCTGGCCCTGGACGCAGGACCCGTCTGGCTGCGCTGCTCGGAGCAGGGCAGTCGCTGGACCGACCTGCTGGCCCATGCGGACCTGCAGGCCACCGCTTGCAACGCCCGCTCGGCCAGGGTGAGGACAACACCCACGCGGGAACGCGCTTGGAACGCGTCTTCAACCGGCGTGTCTATCGTGTCCTCGAGCATGGTCCCTCTATCCGCCCAACGACGCGGTAGGAGCGTCGCGCCGTCACCAGCAAATTTCCCAAGGTGGTCGCTACAGGCGCCCATTCTGCTGTAGCTCGCCGTTCGGCCGGACGGCCCACGGGTACTTCGATGGCCCGAAGTTGGGGTCTTGCGACGACGGCGATGCCAAACACCTTGTAGACTAATAGAGCGAAACTCCGGAGTAAAATAGGAGACGAGAGCAGAAAGCGATCTTGGGGTCAGGGAGTGGACAACGGACTATTTTCGCTGGAAATGCAGCAAGTGGGTCTGACCCGGTAGAGAATTTGATAATCTATGAAATATTTCTTTTTTTGATGAATCATAGGGAGCACAAGCTCGTGATATTGGCCGTCTTGGTCTTTTGATGTCAAAATGCAGTGTGCTGTATAGACTTGTCAGGATTTGCTTGGCAATTTTGTTCATTTCTGTAGCCTCTGTCTTGGGTTTTAGAAATGTTAAACTTTAACCAGCTCACCTGCCTTATTACGTTATCTTCGATTTTGTACAATCTAAATAATTAATAACTTTTTCTGAGCATATTGAGTTGTTTGTTTTATTTCTACCGAGACATCTTATAGATGTCATTGACTCCAAGTTATCATAATTGGCAATAAACATCAATTTGTGATGAGATTGACTTGAAATGGCTCTAAATGACTAGCCGTGATTATTATTGATAATTATCCGATTTTTTCGTTTATTTACATATATGAATTGCTTCAAGTAGCTTTTGTTGGCTATTAGCATCTTCTTTGACCAGATTAACCTTAAATGGCTGCCAATGGCTATTGACCCCGTAAGGGATGACGTCACAACAAGGCGTCTGGGTCCAAACAAACTGTTGCTAGGACGTTGCTATGGACTAATGCATGGAGACTCCACATGAGGCTAGATTTTTGCTTACAACTAAGTAAATAATTTTTTGTAAGCAACCTAACTTCTTGACATCTAATTATGAAGATGTTCCTGCCATCTCAGTGTCGTATTTCAACAATGAAAGCCATTTCTGAAGTATTACACTCCGCTTTGCTTTGGTAGCAGGCAGATTTGGTGGCTTCTGTTGCAGCGGGCGTCTTCATTAAAATGCGTTGGTAAACAAGTGACAAAAACAAGTGGATTGCCGTGGCCATAGAGGCCTCCGAATGTGCGTTTTTTTTTTTCTGTGAAGAACCCAGCTTAATTCAAAGGGGTGAAAATGCCGTAAAATCAAACCACGTCATGCAGATCACTTACGATAACGACCTGAAGTGCATTACCGGCGTAGTGCAGGCCAGCATGAGAAGCAAATTGTACGCCGTCAAGGTAATTCGTTTATTATTATTATTATTGAGGTTGTCAGGTTATTAAAGAATTCCATGTCTATCGCGATTTTTCAGTAACCATTCCAGCGATGGTTACAACCAGATACAACGCACCCTCGCATAGCAGAAGTCCGCAAACAAAATTTGGGATCTCGACCGATCGCCTGATGTGCTTTTCTCACGAGTGCAATGCAATCTTTTAGCAGACGGTCATCTCGATCAACGCCCGGACTTTCGATAAACCATATTTTGCATTGCACCCCACTATGAATTCCTATAAGTGCCTGAGATTCATTATACTTCAAACAAATGCAATATCAGAATATCGTCCTTATTCAAATGACGGTGCCGGCTTGGCCGGCCAGCGTGTGGCAGACAGCATACTTCCAACATTCGTCGTCTGCTGCAGGCATCTTGAGGACCGGAAGTTGCAGTCGTAAATATTTCAGAAACAAGCGATTACCGGCACACTTCTGTCGAAACATATATATGACATTCAAGCTTTCTATATTTGTGATCTTTAGAAGTATAAGTCCTACTCCTGATTTTTGAACAGTTGGGTTTTCGTAGCGAAACATAGCCACAGGTATTTGTCCATAACAACGACCCTAGCAACGGTTTGTTTGGACCCATGACGTCACACTTACGGAGTCAATTAATGAGATAATTGACAATTTCAGTGTCTATCGTCAAAAAACTATCACAATATTCAAGATATTTATTTGCTAGATATGTATCAGAATGCCTAGAGGGTGCGGCTATGGAACATTTTTTTCTATAACTTTTCTCTTCTGCAAAATTGGTGAACTTTTTGGTCTTCTGTGTTTTGGACGAAATGTACACACTTTTTATAAAAGAAATCCGTAAAGTGACAAAAAATTCCATAGCCACATTCCTTATTAAATTTCAGTCGGGAAAAGGGAAGAATGAGCCTCCCCTGTTTTGCCATTATCAAACGATAGATTGACTAAAATGGAATTTATACCAAAAAGTGGATAGGAAGAAAATGCGTTCAAAGTACTCCAAACCCTACCTTTTCTTTAGCTTTGGGGCACAGAAAATAATTTATAAAAAACTAACTATGCAGTGTAAATTAATTAAACTTTTCTGGGATACTATCTAGATGTTGGTGATTGTAAATATGTCATTTTTCAAAATCAACGTTTTTGCAGAATTTTTTTTTTTTTTCTGGGCAGTGTCTCCCCTTAAACACTACGCTACACTCCAATGTTCCATGTAGCCGCTCAACATCTATACAGGGGAGGGCGCTGCGGTCAAATGCGTATATATAATCGCGTTAAACTTCGCATGCATTGGCTCAACGTTTATACACGCGAGGACGCTGCGGTCAAATGCTCAACTGCGTACATAACCGTGCACGATCCATACCACACATTCTCTTTCTGACATGGACCTTTGACTTAAGCGGTGGCGTTCCCATGGCTTTTAGTGGGTCCAAACTGATCTTCTAGAAGAACCACTGGCTTTGCATTTCAGCGACCATAAAGCAGTAATAATGAAGTCGAAACGCAACCCGGAACTCAGCACTATTTATGAGCAATAAAATAAAATCAGCACCATCAGCATTACCTATGAACAATAAAATCAGTGTCATCAGCACCACCAGAGCTTCGCCCCAATCAACATCATTCTCCACGTGGAGGTGTGGTCATTTTTTTTTTTGTATGAAGCACTGGAAAGTTACTTGCATGCGGTAGCGCGATCTGTCCTTTGCTTGCCATGATGTCTGGATTGCAGAGTTGGCGAAGTGGTCGTGGCACAAACGCCGCGATAGTTTTCATGAAGCAGTACAATTTACAACGCCACGTGCATTGTCGTGAGCACAAACACACCGGACCACACTCACTATCCAAGGTTCTATGGATTCAGACATGGATTTATGGCTGACCTCGGCTATTGGCGATATCTGGCTCGTGTTATTTAAGAGGGCGCGGTACCTCTATTTATTCGTCCGTTTCAGCCACCAGATGGCGCGCGGCTCGAAACGTGGTTGAACGCGCAACTTCTAGATGGCGCCAGTATCGAGGTGTGAAAAGGCCCGCGTTATCCGCTGCGTGAAATAGATCCCGAAATGTGCCGTGTTCTCCCGGCGGAGGAAGTTTCTCCCTCCCTCGCGCGCGCTTGGTATGTACGCGCAGTGGCCGAGTCCGGCCTCTGCGCTGTGTGATGCAGTGGCTGGCGCTCGTTTCTGTTCGGAGGTAGGAATCAAAATGCCGGTCCCCTTTTTCCGACGCTCGTTTCTATAGCTTGTTTTTCTTTTTTTTATCTCAAGTGACCTACAGTACCGCCTGTTCGAAATCGTCCTTTGCGGTGAGCAATTGAGAGTCAGGTTAGCATTTTATTTGGGTCAGCACTACACATTCAATGGAGACCTCGGGCGGCGATGTAAATATGCATTGCTCCCCAAAGTGTGTCCAAGGTGCGCAATGACAATTGGAAAGGGTATTGAAGGCGCGCGACCGTCGGTTGGTAAAATACGTGCGTTAGATTCACTTATTCAGTCTAATCATTTTTGCCAACGTATTTTATCTGTTTCGACAAGTGACATGGTCGAGTCTATTGATAACCTTAGCTAGATTGGACGTACGGAGTGTCCGGGCTTTAAATAAATTTGCTTCGTTTATGTGAATGAATAACTGTTTTCTCTTTTCCGTGCTCGGTGCTATGCAAAAATCGCTGAGATGCTATGGTAGCTCAGTGTGGCGGCGTTTTGCACGCTGACTCGGTATTGCATTCGCTGTGCACAATATGTGTTCAGATGGAATGTGCCAAATCGTATTTCCGATCGATATGATAGATTTACTTTGCTACAGTGTTAATTATATTTTCCTGATTTAAACTGAATCGTCCCTGATCTGAGCCTAAGTTCAAATTCGAAGGGCGGACAGACTTAGCGTCGTAACAGCCGTAATGCGCAGAAAGAAATTAGTACCATGAAAGAAAAACAAAAGGATACGAGGTGGCTCAGTGTTATAGAAGTAATAAGTGTGCAAAAAATGCCATCGTACGTGTTTTTTTTTTTTTTTTAACTTTCCGCATCGCTGGGAAACGCTCAAGGTACCAGCAAAGACAGCGAGCTGGCGTGAAATTTCCATCGAGCGGAAAACGAGTGTCATTTTTATTTCATCATGCGCTTTCATTTTGATATGGCTCAAAATGGGCGCGAAATAGTAACAGGTAAGGCAACAAAATTTAGATGTTAGGTCTGGAGCACCGCCATACTCAGCCGTGTTGGGGGCATCTCTCGCGAGTCAATACGGCAAAGGTATTGCGCGTCGAACTGTACGTGAGAATTATCCATTTCAGCGAAACCTTGATTTCACAAAACTATTGTGGCTCGAGTCGTGGCTTCCAGTACTTGGAAGCCACGAGCGAGAAATAAATGACAGTTGATTTTGAAGGACAATCGCGACGTGGAAACCCATAAAAGACAGTTCCAATAAGACGAGAGCTTCCCCTTCTCTTCAAGTGCGTGGGTTACGCTCTCAATCCTGCACCTGTGGTAACACTGCAGGCTCCTAAAATCTAGAGTGCCTTCATGTGCGCTTCGCGCACATGAAGGCTCCCTACTAAAATCGCTTTG